GGGGGGGGGGGAGGCGCCACAGCCTTTCTCGATCTCGCCAACGAGGCTTTTTTATGCATCGCGTTTAATTGCTAGAGAAGGAGCGGGCTTCGCTGGCTGCGGCTGCTACTCTGGCAACAAACTAACCCGTTATTGACTAGCGGCTTCTCAATGCCGGCGAGGCCCCTCCCTTTTATAGTCCAGGAGTAGCAATCATTAAGAAGCTCTTTGCAGATGGCCAACAGGGATTTTCGGCAAATGGAGTAAGTCCTTTGCAACCAACCCCTGAAACGATCAGCACATCGCAAATTCAGGTCTGAATAAGCAAGTCTCCATTATCCGATCCCCCCCCCCCCCGTGAGACTTATTTTCGAGTAAGCCCGTGTAGGGCTGCACTCTAATGACGGGAACGCCTGGCGGGTGAGTCACCATGCGGTCCATGAAGGCCGCTCCAGATCATTTAAGACTTCGCGTTCAAGTCTCCGAAAGCAACCAAAAAGCAGGGCTCGGACGGAGGATGGGAGAGAAACGGGGCTACCGCGTGGATCATACGACCTATTTAATTTCAGTGAATCCTTTCAAAGAACATTGAAATTTATCGGGGGAGTAAGCACCTTTGCTGAAATTATCCTTTTTCTTGCAGTTGTATGATACTACATGTTGGTAATTGTGAACACCTCTTCATTTTTCCTAACTAATCGCCTCTTCCCTTTCAGTGATAGGTGCGTGTGCGAGAAATACATGCATGCATGCATGCATGCATACATACATACATACATACATATATATATATATATATATATATTATAATATAATTGGCCCACATGGACGCGCAAGAGCAAAGTCATCCGTCAGCACCAGCATGATGAAACACTCTGGCTTTTGTTCTCCTTTCTCTTTCCTGTTCTTGAAAAAAAAAAAATTCAAATCGCACCTCCTTTCCGCAGCCGATTTGGCGCTTAAAACCTACATGCGACGTTAACAGGGCAGATTAGTTGGCGGGTGTTTGTTCACCGTCACCGCGCCGGAATAGTGGTGGGGGGGAGAGAAAAACTAATACATCCTTCTTGGTTGAGTCATCTGCAATAGAATCTAATCCCGTTAATGTTAAATCTTAGCACTTATCATAGAGGAAGCACAGTAATGGAGGCAGGGAAAAGGATGAGACATTAACAGCGATGCTCTTTCCTTGTTAGCAGACCCCTTTCTGGACAAGAGTTGTAGCATCAGCAAACAGGTATTAAATTAGATTATTAGGTTTCTCCTTTTTCAAAAAGGCAACTGCAACACCCCTCCCGCCTATTTGTTTTCTCTTTGAACAAATAGCTTAAAAGAGACCCCTTTATCGAGAATGGAAGCACCGATGCAGCACGTTTGAAACCCAGATTATATCTGGCAAAAAACGCCCCCAAGATCTTTAGATCTTATTTGCAGTTAAGTGCATGCATGTACACTCCATTCGACGAGTACTTCCGTTTTGCCACGGAGGCAAAGATTTTAAACCGTTAGCTCATCAACCCCACTTTTTTCTTTTCGAATAACCGATCCACCCACCCACCTACCTCCAAGTCGAATGGTAGGACCCGTTCTTACAGCACTAACCTAATATTGCATTCACATGGGAAAAATTGCAATCCTCACCTTAGCACCGATCTGGTTACCACATTGCCCAGCTTGAATGTGTACGATTTCCCTCATTTTTCTTTTTTAAAAAAGAAAAATCACTTTTGTTTGGGAAAAAATATTATACTAGACCAACGCTGCGGCTCCTTTAAATGCAGAACGTTACGGAGCTCAAGGTTCTCTTCTTCGAACGTGGCGTCAAGAGCTAAACGTTCTATTGAGGTGGCGAGGAAGGCTGGAGCAACCGAGACAAAGCTTTTATAAAGTGGCGGGCGGTCCGCGTTCCGGTTGGTCGAAAGGGACCCGGAGCCCGGAGCTGATTGGATGTCGGCAACACGAAACACGTGGTTGAAAGTGGGGGTGGGCGAGAACGCGAGGCTGAGGCACAGTCAGGGCTGGGTGTGGTGGTTGGTGGAGTGAGGGGATTGCTGGAAGTTGCAATTTTCCTTTTGTTGTGTCAAAATGGGAGCAGCAGAGACCTCTGGGTTTGGCCCAGCAGGGTGGGGGCGGTGTCCCCCGCATTAATAAGATACGAGCTCGCATGCTCATACTGCGGGAGCCCTTTTTACTGTGGCCACAATGCCGGTTTCAGGGCATGCAGCCCAGAAGAGAGCTCCAAAATGTCTCTCGCTTTAGTAGTTAAACACCCATCGTTTGGCAGCCAGTGAGTGTGTGTGTGTGGAGAAGTCCTGTGTGGTCCTTGTCAGCAATAACTCAGCCACCCAAGTTAGAGGAATAGGGAAATAAAATTTAGGCTGCCATCTTCCCACTCCCGTATGATTTAAGGGCAAGGATTCATTTAAATGGGAAGGAGGGAAAGAAAATTCCAAGGGTGGCTCTCAGACACCCTTCTAGCAAGCAATACTTTTTTCTTACAGCCCCAATCCTTAAAAATCAAGAGTTCTCCACTTGGGATAGCTTCATCCTGGCTTCTGTGGGCAAGCTAGGTTGTGACCTGGAACCAGCATTTGTATAAGAATGTTTCTTCTTAGGATTCATTAAGAATTGTTAATTAATTGTTCAGTCTTAGTGTGATACTGACTAGCATGAAATGATTCGATAAGCATAGAATCCACATTACAATCAGCCCATTTGAATTTTTGCTGATGTGTTGGAATTATTAATGACCTGTTTTTGAAAATGCTATAGGAAAGGATATGTTATACAAATAAACCAGCAATGAGGATAAAACAGTGCTAATGGGGTGGGGGTGGGGGTGGGGGTGGGGGTGGGGGGAGATAGGATGCTGTTAAGCAAATCTGTATGCCCCACTCATGACTCTTCCCCATTTTAATTACCTGTACCCCATAAACTCATGGGGTACAGGCTAGGGTCTCATCAATGCAAGAGGTCACCAGCATGGTTAACAGGCAGTGTCAAGGAAGCTAATAGTGAGAAGGCTCTCTTCAGAAAATGGAAGTCCTGCCCAAATGAGGAAAACAAAAACTTGCACAAGGGAGAGACAAGCAGAGGAGAGATGCAGAACAGCACTTTGAGGAGCATATGGCTAGCAACATCAAGGCTAACCATAAACCCTTTAAATTGCCAACCTTATTGTTAAATGGAAAGTTTAAAAATCATTAGGCTCCTATGATATCTATCTTAAAGTTCTTAAATAATTCAAGTATGAAATTGCTGGCCTTCTTACAAATCTATGCAACATATCTCTAAGTTCAGCCTCTGCAGCAGAGAATGGCTAACATAACACCAGTTTTAAAAAATGGGATCTGAGGGGATCTGCCAGTTAGCTTAATATCTGTTCTGGGTAAATTGGTTGAAAGTGTTATTAAAATATTAATTAACATAAAATTAATAAGCATATAGATGAACAAGAGAAAAATACGACATTGCTTTTGCAATGTCCCGACTCACCAGCCTTTGAGAATTCTTTGAGAGTATTCATCAAGATGTGGATGGGGTGATCCAGGAAACATCGTTCATTTGGGTTTTTGACAGAGTCCCTCACCAAAAACTCCTTAGCAAACATTGTAATGGAATATGAGGGAAAGTCCTCTCATCAATTGGTGAAAGAATAGAAAGCAGAGTAGAAAAATGGAAAATTCTCCCAAATAAGGGAAGTATCCAGCGGAGCCCTGCAGGGAGCTTACTGGTACCGATGCTTTTCAACTTATTCATTAGTGATCTGGAAGTGGGAGCAAGCAGTGAAGTAGCAAGCCTACCGATGACAGAAAAATATTCGGGATGATTAACAACATGGGATTATGAGGTGCTCCCTTCAGACTGGGAAAATGGGCATCAAGGTGGCAAACGTGGTTCAATGTAAACATGTGAAAGTAATGCACATTGGAGCAAAAGATCTAAACTTAAGGCATGAGCTACTGGGGTCTGAGTTAGTGGCTACTGACCAGGACAGAGAGCTTGAATGGACAGCTCCCTGAGAATATCAACCCAGTGTGCAGCTCTGTGAAAAAGACAAACACCGTGTTAGGCATAATTAGGAAAGGTATTGAAAATGATGCTAAGCTTATACTGCCTTTATTCAAATCTGCGGCATGACTGCACTTAGAACGTTGTGTATAGTTCTGGTCACCTGAAGAATCGTAGAAGGTGTTATAGAATTAGGAAAAGTGCAGAACAATGCTTGATCCACTAAAATGAACAAAGCACAATTCCCCTTTGAAGAAAAATTACAATAGCTGAAAATGTTACCTTTAAAAAGAAGCATATAATGGGAGACATGACAGAGGTGTTTAAAATTATGCATGGTGTGGAGAAAATGATGGAGAGGCATATTTCTCCCTCTCCTATAATACTAGAACCTGGGGACACCCCATGAAGTTGGTTGGTGGGAGATTCAGGACAGATAAAAGGAAGTCCTTCTTCACACAAGAAGGAGTGATAGCCACCAATTTGGAGAGGGCTGGATAAACCTGTGGAGAGAAAAGGCTGGTGGTACTACGCTACCTCTGATGTCAGAGGCAGTATGGCTCTGTACACCCGTTGCTGGGCAACTTGGGCAGAAGATACGGTTGCTCTAGTATCCTGCTAGTAAGGTCCTCTAAGACAAATGTTTGGTCTGACCCAGCAACTCTTGAATCTGAGCTGTGGCAGCTGGGAAATGCTGGGAGTTGTAGGATTTTTTCCAGTCTCAACTACATAGTCTTGTGCCCATAGAGCATTTCCAGATGAGGCCTTTATAGTATCGTTAGCCTGTTTCACATTGACAGAATATTAGGTGGGTCCGACTGCCAATGTTCGACTTGTAACCCTCTCTTTTTCTTGCTGCTGCTGCTTTTCCTGTACCATGAGGCTAAGTATGCTCAGGACTGCAGTCTCAATCAGCTCACCTTGCTTGCCTTCGAAATGCATTCATCACCATCTCCTTGCTCTGCAGTCTTTATTTTTTTATTTTTTTATTTGACTCGTATGCTGCACCCCTTAGCCACAAGGTTCTCTGGGCAGCTCACAATGGTGTATAGCAGTAATTAAAATAATGCAATTAACAATGCATTTGACAGCACATAATAAAATACAAAAGTACAAAGAAAGTAATAAAATCCGTAGATAAAAAATCAATGATAAAGAGATAAAAAGGGAGGCATACCAACTGAGGGATCCGTGGGTCAAACCATTTAAAACATTCTTGAGTAAAATAAAATAATACATAAAGAGGTATATAAATAGATGTATAAAAATTGTCTGGCAGCAGAATAAGCAAGTATAAAACCCTTAAAGCCAAATCAACCCACCTGCCAAAAGAGTTATGAAAGAAGAATGTTTTAATTGGTGTCTAAAAGAACAGAGGGACAACACCAAGCAGATCTAGGAAGGAAGGAAGTTCCACAAATGGGCGCTACTACACAAAGGCCTTTCTCCTTGCTCTTTCCCCTTTTACTTGGCTGTGGGGAGGGACACAGAGAAGGGCCCCAGGTGAAGACCTCAGTGATCAGGCTGGTACATATGGAGATAGGCATCCCCCCAAGTATGCCGGCCTCAAGACCCAAGTCATGTTACAGGTATCCTCAGGGCTTTCTTCTACCAGCCTCTTCCATGCTTTTTAACAGCAAAAACACTGGGAAGGGATATCCAGGGATGCAGAGTTCCTGCTATGCAGAAGATACCCAGCTCTACCTCTGACACACATGAAGCTGCTAACGGTCTGAACCCTGCATGGCAGGATCATGGCCTGGATGAGGACCACTAAGCAGACAAAATGCAGATACTTGTAGGTGCCCAGTTAAGTGGTATTTCGTCTGTCATGGAGAAATTTGCTCTCTCTGCGAAGGAGCAGATCCATTGTTCATGGGGTTCTTAGATCAAGCATTGCCACCAAAGGCACAGTGGCCTTCAGTGGCTCCTTGTGTCTTCCATCAGGTTAGGTCAGTCTGTCAGCTATGACCCTCCCGGGACAGCAATAGCTTTGCAGCAGCTCTTTGCACTCTGGTAACCTCCCAGTTCAGATTATTGCAATGCATTATATGTGGGGCTGCCCTTGAAAGCCCCTGTTCACAGTCTTCAGTTGGCCAAAAGCAAGGTGGCTGGACTGCCAACTGGGACTGGCCAGTATGGTCCCATTATGCCAAGTGCATCTCCATCTGCACCGGCTGTTGGCCCATTTCCAAGCTCAATTCCAAGTGTTGGCTTAACCTGTACAGTCCTAAATGGTTTGGGGCCAAGATATTTAAAGGAATGTCTCCTCTCACATTTCCCTACCCAGATATTGAGGTCATCAAAGGCCATCTTCCAGCTGGCTCCACCAAACAAGGTGACAAGAGAGGGGGAGCAGTGGCACCCCACTGAGGGAAGGCCTTCCCCAGAAATATGCTTGGCCTGCACTATGTCCTTCTAGCGCCAGGTGAAGACTTTTTATTCTCCCAGGCATTTCATTAAATGTTTTTAGTGCTCTTAGTACTGCTGCTGGTTTTAACTGGGCTTTATGATGGTCTTATTCTTTGCTGCTGCTATGATCTTTGGTTTATTCTGCATGGTTTTTAATTTTTTGGTTTACATGTTGGTGATATTTGTTTTAATGTATTGCACACTGTCCAGAGAATTTGGTTACCGGACAGTCTAAAAATGCAGTTTTTGTTGTTACAAGTTGTCAAGTCATCTCCTACCTACGGAGACCCTTTGAATTGAATGGCTTTCAAAAGGCCTGTCCTTAACAACCCTGCTCAGTTCTTATAAACTGTGGCTTCCGGTATGGAGCTGATCCATCTCATGGGTGGCTTTCCTCCTCTTTTTCTGCCTTTGACTTTCCATAACATGATTGCCTTC